AGACCGAAATATCTCCTGATTTTATGATTGCACTTGTGTTGTTGAACTGTTTGTCAATACAATAAAAGGAATTGAACCGTCTTTTTCCAGACCTGCAGAGAGGCCGACCTCCTCTGTTCCCAGCCGAGGGTTCTCGTTCCTGGGATGTCTTTTCAGGAAAACCCCGAAATGTACCGAGCAGAAACCCAAATTCCTGGAGTCTCCTTCCCGGCTCCTACGAGATCATCCTCTGTGTGGACTTCATTGAGACAACGGGGTAAGACCGCTGTGTGTTTTAACTGTGTGAATCAAACGTGTGGTGTGGTGTGTGTGGTGTGTTTCCTGAACGGTCGGTGTGTTTGTGAAGCGGAAGCAAAAACTGCAAGCAGGATCTGGTCAAGAGCTGGCAGGAACGGAGTAGGTGACGTTCGATGTGAGGAAGCTCAACGTGGGAGATTTCTGTGGGTCGCTCGGGAAAAGGTCGCGCCTATTCCAGGTAACACAACGTAGAAAACAACGCCTATTGTGTGCAAAATCCACTTCTCCATGTCTCTCTAATCAACATGTGTCCCCTCTTCTTCATGTCCTTCTACATCAATAGTGTCCCCTCTTCTTCATGTCTCTTCTACATCAACATGTGTCCCCTCTTCTTCATGTCTCTTCTACATCAACATGTGTCCCCTCTTCTTCATGTCTTCTACATCACCATGTGTCCCCTCTTCTTCATGTCTCTTCTACATCAACATGTGTCCCCTCTTCTTCATGTCTCTTCTACATCAACATGTGTCCCCTCTTCTTCATGTCTCTTCTACATCAACATGTGTCCCCTCTTCTTCATGTCTCTTCTACATCAACATGTGTCCCCTCTTCTTCATGTCTCTTCTACATCAACATGTGTCCCCTCTGTGGAAAGAGACTCTGAAAGTTTCAGGAACAAAGATTCTCTCTTTTTGATCCATTTCTATAAAAACCTGTCTGAAAATGAGCTGATCAGATTTTGGACACTTTATGATGTCATAACGATTTTTTGGCTTGAGTAACCATTAGCCAATCACCAACCAAGGTAACCCCCCCCCCCCTTATCACCTGAATCTCCTCCTAGAGCACCATTGAGTTCTTTGTAACCAAATGTCTCTCAGAGGGGCGTGGGGAGGGGCTCCTTATTTTCATCTAAAGTAACAGACAGAGAATCAGCACTTTGGAAACAGGGCTGAAACAGAGGGGATTATGGGTAATGCTGCAATGATCTGTTTGGTGTTTCAGCCAACCAGAGACATGTTTTGTATATATCTGAGACCTGTGATATATTGATGAAAAACAGTATAATAGGGGACCTTTAAGTAAAATACAATACAGGACCCTAGAATATTCTGTGACAAGTCTTTGTTTCTCTGTGAAGGACACGGGAATGGTCGGATAAAAGTGGCTCCACCTTCCGCTACTGGAAAACAGGACAGCCTGATAATGATGGGCGAAGTCCGAACTGTATTGCAACTGATCTGGGCAACAATGGCCTGTGGTCCGATGAACTCTGCAGCAGAAGGCTCCCTTTTTTCTGCTATGAACTACATGGTGAGTGTTTAACTAAGTTTTGCTGAACGCGACCTTTGCTTGTGGTTCAGTGGTTATTGTTTTCCTAAAGAAACCATTAATGGAGAGAATCCCTTGATACAATATGTAACCCTCAGAAGAACACATTTCCAAACATTTACACAGCAACATTTCTCCTAAAATAAGAGCTTCTTATACAAACTGTTCGAAGCAACATCTGTCTGTTATTTTATTATTTATGAAATATATTGCAGATGAAACTCCAGTACAAATATCATCTCATCTGAGCTTCCTTCAACCAAAGAAGTGGTTCAAACAAAAACCGTATCCAGTGAGTTAGATCATTCTTATTTCTTGCCAATTGGAATTACATTTCCCCTGTGAATACCTATTTCCCTTTTGCAGGTGAAACTCAAAACAACTATTTTTGTTTCCCACCACAAGTCAAGTCAAATAACCACCATGAAGGTACACTCAACCAGTACAGAGAGAACTTCTCCTGAGCAGCTTTCAACTCTGGGGCAAACAACATCCCTTCCTGGTGAGAGACATGAGTAAAATCAATGGAAGCATGTCAGTTGGGTCAGAGTGAGGTTAAATAAGTTACTTCACTTTCATGTAATCGGTGGTAGTGGTCATACCTTGTGAATAACATGCACTATTTTTGCTCATCCAACACAACATATAAAATGAGTCCATGCTTTCAATTTGCAGACCGAACCCCTCTTTCCACCAGCCAAACAGTGACTACAAATATAAGAACCACAACTATGCAATCCACCACAGATCTAGTCACTACTGAGATGACCACATTTGAGCAGCCCTCAACTAAAGAAGTGGAACAAACGAGAACCATTTCAAGTAAGTGAATCCGTTTTCAGTGTTATTGATGCGGTTCAAATCGGAACCATCCAATATAAATATTTGAAAAAAGAATAAACTCATAACAACTATTTTTCTCTACCACCACAGCGACTCCAAGTCAGATAACCACCATCAAGGTACACTCAACCAGTACAGAGAGTACTTCTCCTGAGCAGCTTTCAACTTTACAGTCGTTGCAAACAACATCCCTTAATGGTGAGAGAACATTAAGTATGCCTGCTAATTCTGAATGTAGTCATGATAAGAGAAAACCTCACATCCACAACTCTTCAATGAGTCTCTTTACCTAATTTGACAATTTCTAGTTTTTAATGCTGAAATGTAATGTTATTGTTCTATTCATTTTTGACAAAGTTTGTGCCAAGTCAACTTTATTCCCTTAAACAACCCTTCAAAAACCTTTATAGGTTCTCACAGCTAAGCATAAGTCTTGCTAAGACTTTGTAATTGTGTTTTAATACATGTGTGTTCACAGGCAAACATATCATCAACATCAGAGTCAAATTCACCTCTACGTCACAGCTGAGTGAAGACGACATCAACAAGCTGGTGCAAGTGCAGGTAAATAACAAAGAATGCCAATCCCCATTCAGTTTGTAAGTTAATGTTGAAATGACTTTATTTAGGTTTTTTATCCATAAATTAATCAGTGTAATTATCCATTGTTCGAATAATTATTGCTAAATTAAATTCTTTGTGCTTTGTCAGTTTCGCAATCTACTGATAGAAAAAGGACTTCCTACAAACATCGAGGTGGGCTTGAAGAGAACGCTGAGAATAACAAAAAACGGACTTAGACGGTGGTATAAATGAAGAACCAGCAACGATTTTAGAAAGGAGAGGCTGAAATCTTGCTTTGATTATTTTTGTTCTTCGACCACACACCAAAGTATTAAACAAAAGATAATGTAGATAGAACATTGTATAACTCTACTTAACTTGTTTTTTTATAATTTTTTTATTTGAGAATGTCAGTTCGGTTTCTATGTAACGTTGAATCAGTTTTTTCCACAATAAATTGACTTTGTTTTTATTGTTTATAATACACCATAACATTGTGTTTATTCTCACTTTTTATTTGTTTAAGGTTAGCATATTAGCATGTATTCAATACTTTACACACAGGTCTAAGGAGACATAACAAATACACATTTCTTCAATATTCAGATATTCATAGGGGACATTTTCCTGAACTCCTTCCAAGTTCTTAGAAATAAGACATATATATAATTTTAGTTAACCGTTTTTAGCAAATCCTCCAGGAGAGAATACTGCATTTAGTAGGGACGTTTAGCTGTGAATTTACAGCAGGACAATAAGGGGTAGGACTCTTATATCATAATAAAAGAACATGTCACTCAATGTAGTTGGATAAATTACTGTTCTTACTAGGGTCAATTCATCGTTGGTTTTGGACCTGTCATGGAATTTGTTGACCATACAAAATATATTTAACTGACATTCAGTGGTTTGCATATTGTGGTAAAAATAAATCTTTACAATTTTGTAATTTATCAGTGATAAACTGATACACTGTGGACAAGACAAACACATTTGTAGTTTTAACTTGAACACCCCCCCCCGAGCTTAGACAAACATTGGCTTACAGTAACCAAATGTGATTTCCATACATCATGACACGTACACACACACACCACAACACACCACACACACACCAACACACCACACACACACACCAACACACACCAACACACACACACACACACACACACACACACACACACACAACACACACACACACACACACACACAACACACACACACACACACACACACACACACACACACACACACACACATGTATACATAACTTCAGGGGACAGTACATTGACTTACATGCATTTCCTGGAGACTTATCCTAACCTTAACCATAACATGCCTAACCCTAACCCTAAACCTTACCCTTAACCTAACCAAGTCTTCACCCTAAAATTAATGATTCCCCTTATGGGGACCTCAAATTTGTCCCCATAAGTGAAGCCAGTCCCCACACGTGACTATGTAAACAGATGTAGGTCCCCACAAGTATAGTAATGCTAGGCCACACACACACACAACCACACACACAACACCACACCACACACACCACACACACACACACACACACACACGTTGGTTTTTCTGTCCTTGGGAGGACCGACATATTTGCAATAAGGTATTCCCTAGCCCTTTATCATCACATGTACATGCTTAACCCTAACTCTGATTTTAATGTACTCTCAATCATAAAACCAGGTTATTTGAAGATGATCCAAAAATGTCTTCACTCATCGTGTTAAACTCTCCTCATAAAGATGCAAAAACAAAAACACTGATTGTGAGAAAGAAAGCACCACTTTGACAAAGCTTCTCACTCAGACTGAAGTGTACTTATAAAAACAAAACCACTTACTTGTGGTCATGGCCTGGAGGTCACCGAGGTCCGGACCTAGGTCATTTTTTCGAAGTGTATATAATAAAACTTGTGAAATAACTGCACATAATTAACAGGGTTCTTTGTAACACTTCCATTACTGGCGGGGGGGCGCTGCACAACTAAGTAGCCTATTAAAGCAAACAGAAGAAGACGACATTCATTTATCAACAAACATATAATGTATAATAAGAACAGATAAGATGGACACAAACCCACGGACGAACTAGAGGTGAACAGCAAACAGCAGTTTGATTTTGGTGGCAGTAGGACCACCCTGGACAAAGTTATAGGGGGGGGGGCCAAATCCGGCAGCCCCAACACCTGGTCTGCCACATGTGGAGTGTGTAGTTTCTCAACTGCTGAGCCCAGAGTAAACAATATTGACATATTTGTGTGGGATACATTTGATCAATTTAAATTAACATTACAATAGCCTACTGTATAATATTTTAAACCCAGACTTACCTCTCGTCGTTCAAACACCAACTCTATTTTGGAGTTCATGCAAGGCTTTGTCATTTTACCAAAGTCATTTAATGCAAAACGCATCCTTTTGTGCAGATTTGGTAACAAGTTGTCCTCGGGCATCGGGTACTTTAACTAGCTCCTTTGGTTGTTTTCGTGTTGCTTTGGTTATGTTCCAAAACAAATTCTTAAACATTTGATTGAATTAAAATAATTTTTTGTGTGTATGACTAACCGGACATTTACAACCAATTACAACTGTTTAATGAAATGAGACTAACTATTGATTGACCGTCTGTCGGAATCTTTTACATCAAAAGGTTCTCAGCTTTTAAAGAGGCCCTATTGTGCTTTTGGGGTTTCCCCTCTCCTGTAGTGTGTTGTATAGGTTTTTTGTGCATGTAAATCGTCTGCACAGTGGCGTTTCTATATGTGCAAAAGTGGTGGGGCACAAAAAACTTAGATGTCTATAGCTTCTGCAGTGAGGTTCATTACTGGCGAGGCACTGGCACTGACTCTTCAGGTTTACAAATATTATATTTTGACCTAAATCAAAATATATATATTTTTTCAAAAGCTTTTTTGTCTGATGCTTCAATTAATTTTAACAGACAGTTCAACAGAAGGATACCCAAAAAATGTAATTTTATCATTTAAATATTGAATTGTTCTCTCTTAGTAAGATCCCATTTTCAATAAAATTGTAGTCTTACCTTGACTTGAAGATGAAGTCCATTTGCCTATCCTTCTGGACAAAAATCTCTATTACTTTTTTGTAAAAGTCCTCCTTATGTTCTTGTAGTTTCAAAAGTCTATCATAAATCTAATCGATAGATTTATGATTCGAAAATGATAAAAGTAGGATATTATCTGGCTGAACAAAACGTGCATTTATCTAACAGCTACGTTTCCCACAGATCTTATTTTGAGCTATTTTCTAAAATCCTATGGAGAAATCTCATTGCTTTTTTGTGGAGGGAAGCCATGCGCAGTTTACTTCCTGGTTTTAGGACGCGTCTCTCTCCTCCTCTTCACACACCACACTTTTCGCGGCAGACGTACTTACAGCCAATCAGCTCTGAATTATGTGAGATGACGTATGGTGGGGATGGTCATTATTTTTTGCTACACACATTAAATAGGAAAATACTCTCAGCATGCGCAGTGTCGTTTTTACAGTCACTGTTCACTTAGACAGTGAGAGGGAGGGGCAGGATTGGGTTTTGTCCCACATGGCTGTAAACAGCTCAATAGGCACACACTGTAGACACTAATTAGAAGAACACAGACTAAAACAGCAATGTACAGACGAATCAGATGATTAAACATGATCTTAAAATATATTTATATATATTTTAATTTTTTTTGCATTTTGTTGTAATCATTATTTTAATACTTTCTGCTGACACTAGGTGGGGCTGCGTCTGCAAAGGCTAAAATCCCAAAGTTTCTCTTCCACACACAGAAGTATGTAAAAACGCCTCCATTGGACTCATTTGTTTACTTCTGTAATATATTGAAATCAGTAGGTAACACTAGTGCTTCTATTGCCTAGCACAGTGGTTCCCAACCTTTTATCCCAAGATCCCCCCAAATGACTCCTTTTGGAAGTTGCGCCCCCCCACACACAAGAGGGGGCGCAACAGCGGTAATTAACGTTTAAAAGTCTCAAAAATGCTACAACTACTGTCACAAACTGGATGAATGTGAAGCATTTTGTTAAAGGAGGATGAAAGTGTAATTAAGGAGCACTATTGGAATGACTTTGATGGTTATTGGACTCAGGATTAATTCATTTGGATTCCCGCTGTATGAAGAAATTAAAGGACGGCGCGGAAGTGGAAACAATTCACAAAGGGATCAAACTGTTTAAAACACATGCTCAAAGTAAACTGGATTTTGCAGATTTATGTGGATTCAAAAGTCGTAAATAATCTACAAAATGGAGGAGACCGATCGATCGGAGGGAGCAACTGTGACCAATAATCCAACTGAAACCGGCATGGACAATGACTATGTTTTTAAAATGTGCTTATCCAGAAAAGCCCCAGGTAGGGAACCACTGGCCTAGCACATTGTAGGTAGGTGATAGGCTAAGGGGCGGGACATATCTGAGTGGTTGTCCAAACACAACAGAGCCGGCCAGCTAACCAATCAGAGCAGACTGGGCTCTGGTTTCAGACAGAGGGTGAAAAGAGGTGCCATGTCACGGAGACACTACATACTGATATACACCTGAACATCAGCAGGAGAGGACTCTTTAAAGTAGAGACACTACATACTGATATACACCTGAACATCAGCAGGAGAGGACTCTTTAAAGTAGAGACACTACATACTGATATACACCTGAACATCAGCAGGAGAGGACTCTTTAAAGTAGAGACACTACATACTGATATACACCTGAACATCAGCAGGAGAGGACTCTTTAAAGTAGAGACACTACATACTGATATACACCTGAACATCAGCAGGAGAGGACTCTTTAAAGTAGAGACACTACATACTGATATACACCTGAACATCAGCAGGAGAGGACTCTTTAAAGTAGAGACACTACATACTGATATACACCTGAAAATTAGAGCATTAAGGCCCCTTTAACTCTCTGTTGTCTGATGTGCGAGCATTACTCGGAAAATATTTATTTTAACAAAATGGGCTTTTTCATTCCTCTTTTTAAATGTGTTTATTTTTATTCACAATAAGTATTAGAAACATTTGAAGGGGCAAATGATACATATGTCTGATCTCATAATGCATCTTAAATAATCAAGTATTAACCATATTAGTCATGCATCATTTTGAAATGCAAAACAGGCTAGCTTATCTCTTTCATTTTGTGACAATTAACTTCTTAATTTAACAGTACATGGCAAAAAGCAACTAATATACAATGCTTTTCTTCCAGTTACATTGAGTAAATCAAAACAAAGAGGTTTAAGGTACTGCATTTATTTACGCAAGTACACAAATAAGTTCACATTGTTTCAACTACTCCCCCTTTACATATTTATCTGTCAATAGAAGGCTTGAAAAACAAGGCCCAAAATGTAAAGGTCAATTATATTGAGGATGACTTCAGATATTTGGGCTTTATATTGGAGTTTTTACAAGCCAGTAAACAGGCAAACTCTCCTGCAGCACATTTCTAAACTCAGCTATTCACAAAGGCTCCTACACAGAAAACGAAAGAGGATTAAAAACAAATAAAATCTATATTTAAAAACCGACACTAAATGCACAAGTCAAACTGAAATTAGATACATTTCATTACTAAAAAATCATAATGTTGTTCACATATTGAACTTAAATTGCCAAAAAAAAGTACGTTACATGTAAAATGTTATGACACCTTGCTTAGACACTGTCTATTTTAGACTTATAGTATAGTATATTCTTACACACAACTAACATTTGAGTTTGACATCAACTTTATAAATGTCTCTCTGAGAGGGTTACTTAAACATTGCAGAATGTATACAAGTGAACAAGCATGTACAACTAAACAAGTTAATTCAATGGGAGGTTGTCATGGTTGTTTTTGTTGTCCGGACATCTTCCAGTTGATCTTGAAATCAGTGATTCCCATGTCTCTCATCTTTGCCTCCAGCTAAGAAACATACACAAATACCAGGAGTTACATTTGTCCCAACTTGAAATCCAGCCCACTCATACGCTAAAGTTCTTATATATTGTTAATAACTACGGGAGTAAACTGTTATAAATGCAAATATGAAACAAGATGTATTATTCTCACCTGGATCACGATTTGTTGTTGAACGGCTGGGTCACTCATGTCAAAGTCAGCACTGATCCTCACAAACGTCTTCTTCTTAAACGCTGGAAAATAGTGGTAATGTTATTGAATTTTATGATTTTAGAAGCCCTAGTATTTGTTCATTGTTCTAGTAAATTGACTTTAATTAAGTGACTTTAAGATGAATTGTATCCATCCAAGGCAGACAATGGTTCAGGTTTATCCTAGGGATGGGTATCGAGAACCGGTACTAAGTCAATACCGGTACCTGATTGGACGGTATCGGTATACCGGTAAGCCGCTGGACAAACGGTGCTGCTATCGGTATAGAGTGGCGAAGTCACGCCCATCTACTTCCGGTCCATGGGACCTTATTTCGAAAAAATAATGTATCGAAGTCAATGGAAAGAGAAAACGTATCTTTCGATCCCGTTTGAATTGTGCCATGAATTACACATATGATGTTTGTCAATCTTAAAAAATAATTTCCATGTCAAAAAGTCACAGTTTGTCGTAAAACTGTTGAAATATAAGACTATGAAAATATGCAACTATAAAGACTACAAATCCCAAAGTCGCGTAAGTGATGTCACAATTGTTTTCCTCCACTAAGAGATATAAGATCAGCGCCATATAGATAGAATCGATCTATATGGCACTGGCTAAGATAAGATAACTTTAACAAGATGCCTGTGTGCTTAGTACCAGGTTATTATCATACCAGCAATGGGTCTTGCTTGTTCTTTCGCTTCCCGTCTGATGAAAGGACCAGGAGTGGCTGGATCAAGTTAGCTACCTAGCTAGTAGCTAGCACGTTGGTTAGCATTACAGCCGTGTCATTTTGATTAGCCTTAACATGAAGTAACATTAAGTAACCCAACATGTTAAACAGTAAGAGTAGTAGTCATATTTCGTGAACCCTCTGAAGAGTTCATTGTGGTGATAGTGAGGGTAGTCAATCGTTTTGTTGACAAGGACAGTAGTGACGGCCATCTTGGTGACGTGTGTTGTTCTGCTAGACCGGAGATGTAGTTCATTGAGCGTTTCACACAAACAAATGTGTTACTTCACAGTTTTACGACACATTTTATTTTTTTTGACTTGCAAAATTATCTTTTAAATTGACAAACATCATATGTGTAATTTGTGGCACAATTCAAACGGGATCGAAAGATAATCTTTCTCTCTCCATTGACTTCAATACATAATTTTTTCGAAATAAGGGCCCTTTCTCATTTCATCAAATCCCCCTCCTCGACTCCTCGACTCCTCCGGTAGTGACCCGGAAATGAATTTTAGCGCGCCATGTTGAAGGACATCTCATTTCTCTAAATGCACTTCGAGGATCGAGCGTCGAGGAGGCTCAGCTATAACCGAGGATACACTGATGGGTCCTCCACGGTTCTCCACGGCTCCTTCGTGGATGCATTTCCGGGAACAGAGATGTTTCAAAGAGTCGTGACGCACGGCCGGACTTATCTCAGCCAATGACAGCTCTGCATGCATCCCCTGGATATTATTTTATTAACTGCTCTCATCGCAACGCGATGTTTACAGTGAGAACAGCTGTGAGGTCCGTGCAGAAAGCAGAGCCGTGTGTATAATATATATCACTCAGTATAACAGACCTACATTATTCTCTTTATTTGCTTTAGTTTAGTAGATATCTACAAACAAAGAGTTGATATTTTTCTAAGACCATTTAGTGCTTCACATAATAAAATACACAACGGCTGTAGCCTGATTATGCTTTAGGAGCTGTAGGTGTGTGTGGTAGTGTGTATGTGTGTGTGTTGTACAGTGTGTAGGTGTGTGTGGTACAGTGTGTGCAGATGCAGCGGACAGACAGGTCTCAGTTGGTTTGGTGTCCTCTGCTTACTTTTAATACTTGTAAATAAAACTTTTGGCCCGTAATATTTATTTCCCTCATTGTAGCGACCAGAGAGGGGGGGGATATATCCAGTCGCTGATAGTGTTACGTTATTATGAGAGTGCTCTGTTTGATTCTGAAATGGTATATATTTATATAAATATATATGTGTGTGTGTGTGTGTGTATGTGTGTGTCCACATCTGTAGCCTGTTATTGTCTCATTATACCGCACTGTGAATGAATTAAAAGTAAATATATAAGTCGTCATGAACACATCTGTCCATCAGACAGAGGGCTGCTGTGCCTCCTGTCATCATTAATGGACGTCTCTTTAAAATGACCGCTCAGAGGAGAGGAGTTCTCATTTCTCTAACCGCCTGCTGCTTACCCTCCTCTCTCCTCGGTTCCCCTCCTCGACTCCTCCGTTCGCATCTCCTGTGGGCGGGACTAAGTCTCGAGGATAGGAGTCGAGGAGGGAGTTAGAGAAATTAGAAAGGGCCAAGGTCCCATGGAGGTCCACCGGAAGGGGAGGGACTTCGCCACCCTATATCTGTTACGTCTACTTTCCTTAGTTTTACTTTAAACCATTCTGGTTGGTTGGGAACCTTCATCTTGTGTGATGTATCCTGTTTGAGACCCCTCTGATTGGCCACTGTAAATGCCACTCGTCATCTCTCTCAACAGCGCTCTTATTATTGTTGTGAGACTCCCGCAGGCATGGCGGACAGAGCGAAGCGATCGAAGGTCTGGGTGCGCAAAACAAATGCCTCTTTTCATCCTCTGTCTGAGGGAAAACCCCAACAAGCATGATAGGGCGAGCCAGGCCCCTTTAAGTTATTTATTTATTTGTGTCTGCTTCTGAGAAGCTAATGTATAAGTTATACAGTTATTCCTGCAAGAAAATTACAATAAAATGACTGTTTAATCTTCACATCTTGTATTCATGTCTATAATTTTGAGCACCAAATTATTGAAAAGTATCGATAAGAGTATCGAAAAATACCGATACCTATAAGCAGTACCGGTATCGGTATCGATAAAATCCTAACGATACCCATCCCTATTTATCACAGAAACAAACGTGTGCATTTCAAATATATTAACAAATAGCTGGGTACCTGGCACTTTACATCAAATCCATATACTCTATATACATGTATTAAATAAACATACTCAAGGTAAACAATAATGCATGTCAACAATGTGAGTGGGGATACAAACTATGTTATTATTTTTCATCATCAGTTAATCAAACAATTATATTTTTAATGAATTGAATTTAATATTTATGGTGCACCAAATCCTTTCATTTAAAAAAAACTGTACTAGTGGGTTATCTGTCGCAACCATTTTAGTTTTGTTTAGACTCTCTAAATACGCACTATTTTTGTGTTTTTCAGACTCTCTAAATAACCCTAAGCCCTAGGATTAATGTTTGTTATTTTGAAAAATGAAAAAGTTCTGATGGAGGAGCCAGCTACCCACTATTAAAAAGTGCCAAAAACAAATTGATTTATTGTCTGACCCCCTGTAGCACTTACTGTAGCAGAGAAACATAGATTTGGTGTCGCAGGACCTGGCGTTCCATTTCCTGTCGGAAACATGAGCGCAGTTGGGACCCTCTCCTAAAAGGGGTTGTTCCTGAGACAAGTATCTGAACGAGGAGTAACTCCCGTCTGACCACTTCCAGGAGTCTTGAAAGAGGCCGATCCAGGCCAGCTTTCCTTCCGGCACCATGCTCTGGACTTCCTGGTTCTCCGCCTGGTTTCTCACACTGAGCAGGTCTGTGTGGTGTTTCCTACAGTAGCTGTGAGCGTCGGCCCAATTCATAGCTGTTTCCACGAGAATCTTGCTTTTGAGTGCACCTGTTCTGCCTGTGAACACAGAAAGAATCATGATGCACCAAAACACAACGAAAACCTACTCGTTCCTGGAATAAAAGAGCATTAGCTTTGAATAAATGTTGATGTGTGCATAATATTTTCCTTCATATTACCATCAAAGCATAGGAAGAAGTTAAGTAAGTCACATTGCAGGTCTCTCCATTCTCCCGTGTGTTGTATGCCTGCACAGTCCTGGGTGGCCCTCTCCAGATTGGGTTCACCAGCACCCCAGTTCCTGAACTCAGCTTCACTCGCTCCATAATAACCTGACAGAGACCACCTCCAGGTAGCAACGTCTTCATACAGCCCAATCCAAAAGTCTTTTTTGGAGTAATTCTCCATCTTTTCCATGACCCTATACATGTCCTGAACGTCGTTGATGGTGGCCAGGTCAGTGTACTTCTCTCTGCAGTAGCTCTGGGCTTCAAACCATGTTTTGGGTTCATCAGGAATGAGAATGTAGTCTCGTCCACAGGACACATCGGAGCAGTAATCTTTAACTGTAATTTGAATAGAAAATACGGGAATGACGTAGTCAGAAAGTACCAGTATGAATGCCTGTTACACATCATGCTCGATTCAATCAGTAAAAATGTAACGAGGAACATTTTACATTTTCATTCAGTAGATGATTTGATCTTTGGTTTTAACAAGATACTGATAGATGACAGTATCGTCTGCAAATGGTATGAGCCTTACAATCCTGGTTGGATGTTTGTATTGTAAAGAGATTGTAATACAGCGTTATATGTTTACCATGGGGCGGGGGCAGCTGAGGGAATCTGTTTTGAAGATTTTCCAAAGTGCTATAGACCTCCACCTCGCACAGAGGCGTTGCTACGCCATGATGGATCACAGTCACATAGCGACCCACAATCCCACCGCAATCCAGGGTCATCAAAGAATATGCATTACTGGAGATGACCTCACAGCTGAAAAAGATAAAGAAGAAGAAGTATATGAAACTTTGCTTGATTTACCTTTAAACTTAATTTATATAATTTCAAAAAGTGTTCTACCCACGAGACAAATTATGAGAAATAGGTCGAGCTATGCATTCCTCCAACATTGTCCAACTATATATCACCTTGTGTCATCTACACGGACATCGTAACTGAAGCAGCAGTTGGAGCTGTAGGCGAGTTGGACTGCAGTCACACTGTAAGGAACCAGTAGATCCACTGTTACCCACGGACCTGGCTGCTCAATGGCTACGCTGCAGGTGGAAGACTGATTGCCATCAATGACTTTGCTGGCTACACTGTTTTCCAGACTTGAGGAAGAATGAAAAGCCAGTCCTCTCAAAGCCACGTTTTCTAGTGAGGGTCAAACAGAACCAAGAAAAGCATTCTTTACTGGAAGAAATATAACAAAGGCTTCTGTTTAATGTCAAGTAAACAATGCAGTCTGGAAATTTATGAGAAGTCTAAACAGCCATTATCATTTGGAGCTTACCAAGCAGAGTACCATACACCTCTACTTCACAAAGAGTCAAAGTCTTCTGTAGACCAGGAAGGTAAACATGTACGAAGCGTCCTTCCATTATTCCACATTGGTAGAATGTATTTCTGCTCTCCCTCTGAAACGAAGATGATGGCACACCTGAAAGAAGGAGGATGTTAAAAGGGAGAATAAAGGTCACCTATTATGCAAATTCCACTTATTCACGTCTTTTCTACATCAACATGTGTCCCCTCTTCTTCATGTCTCTTCTACATCAACATGTGTCCCCTCTTCTTCATGTCTCTTCTACATCAGCATGTGTCCCCTCTTCTTCATGTCTCTTCTTCATCAACATGTGTCCCCTCTTCTTCATATCTCTTCTACATCAACATGTGTCCCCCTCTTCTTCATGTCTCTTCTACATCAGCATGTGTCCCCTCTTCTTCATGTCTCTTCTTCATCAACATGTGTCCCCTCTTCTTCATATCTCTTCTACATCAACATGTGTCCCCTCTTCTTCATGTCTCTTCTACATCAACATGTGTCCCCTCTTCTTCATGTTTCTTCTACATCAACATGTGTCCCCTCTTCTTCATGTCTCCTCTACATCAACATGTGTCCCCTCTTCTTCATGTCTCTTCTACATCAACATTTGTCCCCTCTGTGGAAAGAGATTCTGAAAGTTTCAGGAAAAAAGATTCTCTCTCTTTTTGTCCTGATCCATTTCTATAAAAACCTGTCTGAAAATGAGCTGATCAGATTTTTCCCAATTTTTTGTCTTGTGTAACCAATAGCCAATTGCCAACCAAGGTAACCCCCCCCCCCCCCCCCCTTATCCCCTGAATCTCCTCTAGAGCACCATTGTGTTCTTTGTAACCAAATCTCTCTCAGAGGGGCGTGGGGAGGGGCTCCTTATTTTCATCTAAAGTAACAGACAGAGAATCAGCACTTTGGAAACAGGGCTGAAACAGAGGGGATTATGGGTAATGCTGCAATGATCTGTTTGGTATTTCGAGCAGAACACTTCAGAGACATGTTCTGTATATATCTGAGACCTATAGTATATTGATGAAAAACAGTATAATATCTTTAATGCTATGCGGCAAGTAAGTTACTGTATCTTTTGTTCGTGCTTGTATCACCTCTGGTTGGTAACGTCCTTGCTGAGGCCGATGCGGACCTCCGCCCCGTTCAGCTGCTCCGAGCAGCAGTCTCCTGAGCTGAGGATAGACACAGCAGTTACGCGGTAGATATTCCTCAGGTCAAGTTGCCACCACGGGTTGTCTTGCAGTGCGACGGAGGCACAGGTTTCCAGAGCATCCGTCGGCCCAGGGTGTTCATCAATAGCCATATGTTGAGAAGTTTGTGTAGAAGCAGGTGCTGAAGACAGCGTAGCTATTCCTCTTGGTAAAACATTAGCTGGCAAGAGTGGTATAAAGGCAGTTATGACAAAATTAATGAAAAGAATCAGGTGGAAATTGGTGCTTTAACCATAGAAGCAATACTTAACCAAATTGTGTAAATGTATACTTCATGATGTTCCCATAAGAAACACTCCATCAGTTAATCAAGCTTGGATGCCATTGTTTAGTGACACATTACCTCCTGTAAGTTGGGTAGTGGTGTACACTTTGACCTCACACAGATGAAGATCTTTTCCTACTCCAGGGTTGATTATGTTGACGTAGCGTCCTTGCATGTGGTTACAGTTTTAGGTCATGGTAGCATTACTGGTCACGGTGATGACTGCACATCTAAATGAGGGTAAAAGGGACAGTTAGAAAATGCATATTGGCTAGCAATGGGTACCCATTATGTCACTATTTTAGGAACAAGATGCCTTATGCTGATTGGTTAAGGCCAAACTAAACAAAGTCGGCCCTACTTTATCCAGAGGAAAATATCCCACATGAACACAATGTCAGTGTGAATAATATTGTGAAAACAAAATGTCTTCTCATCACCTGGGATTGTTGTTGCCATTGTTCTCCAGTGAGTTACCAATGCGTATTTCTGCCCCATTAACCACATTGCCGCAGCAATCTGTTCTTCGAAGGACTTCAATGGATAAGATGTCATACGGACCCCGCATGTCCAATCTCCACCAGGGGTTACTATTCGTCAAAGAGCTAAAACAGCTCTGGTACAGACTATGGTCTGAATAAGGTTTGCCATCAATGGCTAAGCTTGGTCGATGGTAAATGTCGTACTGTGATGACGCCGCAGCCACTCCACCCAGAGCCACATTCACTGCAGTGTGAGCACAGTGACAAAGATTTATGTTTGCAATGCAAAATATGTAAAACATCTACACATGAAAGCCCTTAAAGGTCACCTATTATGCTAAATCCACTTCTTCATGTCTCTTCTACATCAACATGTGTCCCCTCTTCTTCATGTCTCTTCTACATCAACATGTGTCCCCTCTTCTTCATGTCTCTTCTACATCAACATGTGTCCCCTCTTCTTCATGTCTCTTCTACATCAACATGTGTCCCCTCTTCTTCATGTCTCTTCTACATCAACATGTGTCCCCTCTTCTTCATGTCTCTTCTACATCAACATGTGTCCCCTCTTCTTCGTGTCTCTTCTACATCAACATGTGTCCCCTCTTCTTCATGTCTCTTCTACATCAACATGTGTCCCCTCTTCTTCATGTCTCTTCTACATCAACATGTGTCCCCTCTTCTTCATGTCTCTTCTACATCAACATGTGCCCCCTCTTCTTCATGTATCTTCTACATCAACATGTGTCCCCTCTTCTTCATGTCTCTTCTACATCAACATGTGTCCCCTCTTCTTCATGTCTCTTCTACATCAACATGTGTCCCCTCTTCTTCATGTCTCTTCTACATCAACATGTGTCCCCTCTTCTCCATGTCTCTTCTACATCAACATGTGTCCCCTCTTCTCCATGTCTCTTCTACATCAACATGTGTCCCCTCTTCTTCATGTCTCTTCTTCATCAACATGTGTCCCCTCTTCTTCATGTCTCTTCTACATCAACATGGGTCCCCTCTTCTTCATGTCTCTTCTACATCAACATGTGTCCCCTCTTCTTCATGTCTCTTCTACATCAACATGTGTCCCCTCTTCTTCATGTCTCTTCTACATCAACATGTGTCCCCTCTTCTTCATGTCTCTTCTACATCAACATGTGTCCCCCTCTTCTTCGTGTCTCTTCTACATCAACATGTGTCCCCTCTTCTTCGTGTCTCTTCTACATCAACATGTGTCCCCTCTTCTTCATGTCTCTTCTACATCAACATGTGTCCCCTCTTCTTCATGTCTCTTCTTCATCAACATGTGTCCCCTCTTCTTCATGTCTCTTCTACATCAACATGGGTCCCCTCTTCTTCATGTCTCTTCTACATCAACATGTGTCCCCTCTTCTTCATGTCTCTTCTACATCAACATGTGTCCCCTCTTCTTCATGTCTCTTCTACATCAACATGTGTCCCCTCTTCTTCATGTCTCTTCTACATCAACATGTGTCCCCTCTTCTTCATGTCTCTTCTACATCAACATGTGTCCCCTCTTCTTCATGTCTCTTCTACATCAACATGTGTCCCCTATTCTTCATGTCTCTTCTACATCAACATGTGTCCCCTCTTCTTCATGTCTCTTCTACATCAACATGTGTCCCCTCTTCTTCATGTCTCTTCTACATCAACATGTGTCCCCTATTCTTCATGTCTTTTCTACATCAACATGGGTCCCCTCTTCTTCATGTCTCTTCTAAATCAACATGTGTCCCCTCTTCTTCATGTCTCTTCTACATCAACATGTGTCCCCTATTCTTCATGTCTTTTCTACATCAACATGGGTCCCCTCTTCTTCATGTCTCTTCTAAATCAACATGTGTCCCCTCTTCTTCATGTCTCTTCTACATCAACATGTGTCCCCTCTTCTTCATGTCTCTTCTACATCAACATGTGTCCCCTCTTCTTCATGTCTCTTCTACATCAACATGTGTCCCCTATTCTTCATGTCTCTTCTACATCAACATGTGTCCCCTCTTCTTCATGTCTCTTCTACATCAACATGTGTCCCCTCTTCTTCATGTCTCTTCTACATCAACATGTGTCCCCTATTCTTCATGTCTTTTCTACATCAACATGGGTCCCCTCTTCTTCATGTCTCTTCTAAATCAACATGTGTCCCCTCTTCTTCATGTCTCTTCTACATCAACATGTGTCCCCTATTCTTCATGTCTTTTCTACATCAACATGGGTCCCCTCTTCTTCATGTCTCTTCTAAATCAACATGTGTCCCCTCTTCTTCATGTCTCTTCTACATCAACATGTGTCCCCTCTTCTTCATGTCTCTTCTACATCAACATGTGTCCCCTCTTCTTCATGTCTCTTCTACATCAACATGTGTCCCCTCTTCTTCATGTCTCTTCTACATCAACATGTGTCCCCTCTTCTTCGTGTCTCTTCTACATCAACATGTGTCCCCTCTGTGGAAAGAGACTCTGAAAGTTTCAGGAACAAAGATTTTCTCTCTTTTTGATCCATTTCTATAAAAACCGGTCTGAAAATGAGCTGATCAGATTTTTGCCACTTTATGATGTCATAACGATGTGTTGGCTTGTATTAGCCAATCACCAACCAAGGTAACCCCCCCCCCCCTTATCACCTGAATCTCCTCCTAGAGCACCATTGTAATAGTATAATAGGGGACCTTTTTAAATGACATCCAAACATCAACTCTTGTTCGCACACAGGCTAAAAGTGTCCTGTCTCTCCTCAGCTCCTGCGACATCAAGTACACGGAGGGCGTGCAGTCCCTGAACTGGACCAAGATCATGAAGACCATCGTGGACGACCCCGAGGGCTTCTTCGAGCAGGGAGGCTGGTCTTTCTTGGACCCCGAGGGCGATGTACGTACACATAGAGAACACATTTCCCCTGTGCTGGCATCACTCCACTGGTTACCCGTTTCTTTTAGAGTCTTATTAACTATAAGCTTTACTTCACCTTCTCATCTCAGCGACTGCCTTTCTTTTTATGTTCCAACAAGAACCCTTTAGATCACGGGTGTCAAACTCAATTTCATCACGGGCCACGTTAGAATTATGGTTGCACTCAAAGGGCCGGTGGTAACTTTAAGATTATATAAATATATAAAATAATGTATTATTTCCTCTGCATTGGATTATTATCGGATAGGGTGATAACTTCATAATTAACTACGTCTGAAAGCAGAAGGCTTGGGCAAATAATTGCAAGTCTCTTCAGTGAGAATGTCACAAAATGAGATGCATTGTGGGACATGTAGTTTATGAGCAACGTGCTTCTGTAAAGCGGAACCTTATAATAAACGTATTATGTTCTTTGCAAGCTCTTGTGGGGCCGCATAAAATGAAGTGGCGGGCCGGATTTGGCCCCCGGGCCTTGAGTTTGACACCCCTGCCTTAGATCCTCCAGTGCCCTGCTTTTAGAAATGTCCCCGTGGATCTTAGAACAGCAAATCTTTTTAACATGGCTTTTAATTTGGGTTAACTTTAAATTCTCACCAGTATCATTGTCCATGTTTTGCTGTGTTTTGCTTTTATTTTACATTTTAAATTGCTTTATTTTAACATATTTTAATTTGTTGTCGGGTTTAATTCACGGGAATTTCATTAGGATCACTTTTGATGTTTTATCTTGTGCTGTATTCATTTTAATATTGTTGTTATGTTTTCTGTAAAGCACTTCGGGCTGCTTTGTGCATGAAAGGTGCAATACAAATAAAGATTATTATTATATAGCAAAGCACAAACAATCTGCGGAAACAAACGGGGAACATTTCGGGGCATTTCATTTGATTTTCCACGCAGAAAGAAATCGGAATACTTTTATTCGTTCCACAGAAAGGACATTTACATTTGTTACAACAGAAAAGACCCAAAGACAGCTTGATGTTACCTAAGAAGCATGCATACAAAATATATTAAAGATGAAAAAAGAAAATTACACAATTTACATAATCAGGGTGTCCGCGGGGTCTTAAAAAGCAAGGCTTAAATGAAGGCTATTAAAAAGTATTAACCGGCATCTTCCAAGGTATCACATTTTGTAGCTTGTTTTCAATAAGTATATAAATGGTCCAAAGAGGTTGTGTTCTACAGTCTGCCTGAATGTAATCATGGCGTAGGTGTGTAGTGTGATTCTGTGTAGTTTATTGATGGCATCCCGTTGGGTTTGACGTCATCTGAACAGGACATCGCACGCTCACTGCTTGATAGCGCGGAGGTCCGTTTACGCCGGTTGCTAAGCAACATCGTTATGGGGAAATGCAAGTTTGCGTCCAAACAGTTGGAAGATAAGGAGGAAGGACAATCAATACTGTATACAGTCAATGTGAGGTAAAGTGTGTCGCCAAGGTAACCGGTTAAAACTCAAAGTGGCGATGAGGTCTTAAAATTAGGGATGCACGATATTGTTTTTTTTAAACCGATACCAATAACTTCCTGCTTCTCAAGACCGATACCGATAACCGATAATAAAAAAATGTTTACGCCACTAATTATTTTAACGCGATTAACGCATGTGTATTTTTTTTCCTCGGCCGCCCCGTAGTTTCAGAGCGCATCGAGTTTAAAATACCATCTACAAGCTGATGCTGACAGCCCCGCTCCTGCCACCCGCTTGTGGCAGACCACACTTCCACGCTCACCGGCAGGCACCGACTGGCCATCTGGAGGACCGAGAGGGTGTGTGTATGTGTGGCCCGAGCGAGAGAGAGACCTTACGTGCATTGTTGTTGATAGCATCTGGTGCTAGCTAGCTGCGCTAACGGATATACGGAGCTGTTTAAATGAAAACAGAGGAGCGACATTTCGCCACAACTGCGCCGAGCACTTGACTTTATGTAGGAAGCCAGACAGTGGGACATTGTACGAAAAGTCAGCACACTCAGCACGGATAGTGCGCAACATGATTGCAGCGTCCAGGCAGCTCCGGTTCGAGCATATGCCTTGAGTTGCACATAGCTCCAACGCCCATACCACCGACGACATGTTTGTTTACTGTCCTGGCTTCACAGCCGCACACCATTTACGTCACAGCCAGGCATGAGTTAGGGAGCGCTGGATTTGTGTAAAACTCCCCTCTTCCTAAACCACTAATACCACAGTACTGGCAAAATGGGAGGAGCCGAGTGAAAAACAAGCGCCCCTCATCCCAATCCACCACCCCCGCAGTATTTCTTTCTTTTTTTTTTACCCAAAAAATATATTGTATATTATCGGGGCTATTAATACTGGTATCGGGTTTATCGGGATGACGTCATAATTCCTATTATCGGGCCGATAATTATCGTGCATCCCTACTTAAAATGTATGGAAAGGGTCTTAAAAGGTGTTACATTTGACTTCAGGATTCCTGCATATACCCTGATAATACACACCTGTAACAGTTCTGTAGTAAGTAAGTGTAAATATGCACATTGACATTGAATTTTGTCTCGTTGCACTGTCATCGCTACTACCTCTGCTTTCACCACTCTTATTTATAGTGTCTATTTTTTACTGCAGTGAGAGTTGCCAAAGAGATTTCGTTATACTTTGAATGATGACAAAAAAGATATATTCAGTGTTTCCCTTATATACAAATAGTGGCGGCGCAAATTAGTTTTTTAACAAGTGGCGCCCCCTAGTGCTCGTTTTGTGGATTTGTAGTATTTGTGTTACTGTATGTTCAATAAAGGTTTAATCTTGAGACACTGTATGAACTAGGCCTTTCTTGTGCTGGCAGACACATAGAAACATATTGGCGGGGCGCACTTCGCACTCGCTCACATTTTGCCTTCGCACCGCTGCTATGACTCCATCCTAGTGGAAACACTGATATTCTAGTTTGTGTTGAACAGCGGTGCGGACCAGATTTTCCTCGTTCTTGCTACACCGTTTTATTTCATTTATTTTTTTATCAAACAACACATTTGTATTTTTGTTTGTTCTCAGGGAAGCGGTCGGGAGGAAGACTCCGAGTCGGAAATAGAGGATGAAACATTCAACCCGTCTGGAGATGAAGAGGAGGAAGAGGAGGAGGCGGACAGTGACGAAGACTACGACTCGGAGACAGAGGACTCCAGTACGACTTTTTGATTTCTTTCTCCTTTTTCCAGCATGCCGCACCTTGCGAAAACACAAACAGTTTTTTTAATTGTTGCCGTTAGAAACCGTTCTCTTTGCAGTGATATTAGTTTACATGTATGTATTTTTTCTTGCAGATTACAGCGAGTCTGTCGGCAGCGAGGAGGAGAGCGGGAAAGACTGGGACGAGCTGGAGGAAGAAGCCAGGAGAGGTCTGTAAAGCTTTTCATGGCTAACATTCAGGATGTGTTGCTACATCAACATGTGTCCCCTCTTCTTCATGTCTCTTCTACATCAACATGTGTCCCCTCTTCTTCATGTCTCTTCTACATCAACATGTGTCCCCTCTGTGGAAAGAGACTCTGAAAGCTTCAGGAACAAAGATTCTCTCTCTTTTTGATCCATTTCTATAAAAACCTGTCTGAAAATGAGCTGATCAGATATTGGCCACTTTATGATGTCATAACGATGTTTTGTCTTGAGTAACCATTAGCCAATCAGCAACCAAGGTAACCCCCCCCCCCCCCCCCTTATCACCTGAATCTCCTCCTAGAGCACCATTGAGTTATTTTCAACCAAATATCTCTCAGAGGGGCGTGGGGAGGGGCTCCTTATTTTCATCTAAAGTAACAGAGTCCTCTCCTGCTGATGTTCAGGTGTATATCAGTACGTAGTGTCTCTACTTTAAAGAGTTCTCTCCTGCTGATGTTCAGGTGTATATCAGTATGTAGTGTCTCTACTTTAAAGAGTTCTCTCCTGCTGATGTTCAGGTGTATATCAGTATGTAGTGCCTCTACTTTAAAGAGTCCTCTCCTGCTGATGTTCAGGTGTATATCAGTATGTAGTATCTCTACTTTAAAGAGTCCTCTCCTGCTGATGTTCAGGTGTATATCAGAGTCTTTACTTTAAAGAGTCCTCTCCTGCTGATGTTCAGGTGTATATCAGTATGTAGTGTCTCTACTTTAAAGAGTCCTCTCCTGATGATGTTCAGGTCTATATCAGTATGTAGTGTCTCTACTTTAAAGAGTCCTCTCCTGCTGATGTTCAGGTGTATATCAGTATGTAGTGTCTCTACTTTAAAGAGTCCTCTCCTGCTGATGTTCAGGTGTATATCAGTATGTAGTGTCTCTACTTTAAAGAGTCCTCTCCTGCTGATGTTCAGGTGTATATCAGTATGTAGTGTCTCTACTTTAAAGAGTCCCTCTCCTGCTGATGTTCAGGTGTATATCAGTATGTAGTGTCTCTACTTTAAAGAGTCCTCTCCTGCTGATGTTCAGGTGTATATCAGTATGTAGTGTCTCTACTTTAAAGAGTCCTCTCCTGCTGATGTTCAGGTGTATATCAGTATGTAGTGTCTCTACTTTAAAGAGTCCTCTCCTGCTGATGTTCAGGTGTATATCAGTATGTAGTGTCTCTACTTTAAAGAGTCCTCTCCTGCTGATGTTCAGGTGTATATCAGTATGTAGCGTCTCTACTTTAAAGAGTCCTCTCCTGCTGATGTTCAGGTGTATATCAGTATGTAGTGTCTCTACTTTAAAGAGTCCTCTCCTGCTGATGTTCAGGTGTATATCAGTATGTAGTGTCTCTACTTTAAAGAGTCCTCTCCTGCTGATGTTCAGGTGTATATCAGTATGTAGTGTCTCTACTTTAAAGAGTCCTCTCCTGCTGATGTTCAGGTGTATATCAGTATGTAGTGTCTCTACTTTAAAGAGTCCTCTCCTGCTGATGTTCAGGAGTATATCAGTATGTAGTGTCTCTACTTTAAAGAGTCCTCTCCTGCTGATGTTCAGGTGTATATCAGTATGTAGTGTCTCTACTTTAAAGAGTCCTCTCCTGCTGATGTTCAGGTGTATATCAGTATGTAGTGTCTCTACTTTAAAGAGTCCTCTGCTGCTGATGTTCAGGTGTATATCAGTATGTAGTGTCTCTACTTTAAAGAGTCCTCTCCTGCTGATGTTCAGGTGTATATCAGTATGTAGTGTCCCTACTTTAAAGAGTCCTCTCCTGCTGATGTTCAGGTGTATATCAGTATGTAGTGTCTCTACTTTAAAGAGTCCTCTCCTGCTGATGTTCAGGTGTATATCAGTATGTGGTGCCTCTTTTCACCCTCTGTCTGAAAGCAGTCTCATACAAAGAAAATACGTTTGTGTTTTTATTGCAGTGCAATTTAATGTCCTTTTTTTTTAAATACATGAAATGTGAATCGTCTTTATTGTTAAACGTGCCATATTTTTCTGTTTTATAGCTGACAAAGAGAGCGTCTACGAGGAAGAGGACACCACCACCAACCCCAGGAAGAGAAAGATCCGCCCACCCCCCCCAAGCCGCCCCGCCGCCAAGAAGAAGCGACGGTCCTAAATGTCTCTTACAAACACACACGTACACACACACACACACACACACTGCCAAACCTAGACCTTTCATTAACCCCAAATGGCTCTTCTCACTCATACATTTACAAACACACACACTCAGACACACACACAATGTGTATATAGACGTAGACGCCCCTTATTTTTCGTGTTGGTCAGTGAAGTGTCATGTTGAAATGGTAGGAAAGAACGAGCGGTCACACACACTTCATTCATCACCCCCCCCCCCCCCCTTAATTCCTTCCATCTCCATCCACCCATCAGGTGTCATGTTTGTGTGTCTGTGTGCGTGCATGTGTGTTTAAATGGGTTTTTATTGCGAGCATTGTTTGTTTTCCGTTTGGAAAAAAAGATTTGTTTTTCTTAACTAATGGATAATAAAATGAAAAAAGGCTTGACATATCCTCTGCCAAGTGTTTTATATCAAATCTGAGAAACTCTCCTCGTGTACGTTTCACTTCCCCTCATGTTTTCTTCAATATTTGTTCAATTGAAGTAATAATATGGAATTTTTTTGAAGGGGGGGGACGGATACATTCTCTGATTTATTCTTCTTTTTAATGGGGATCGTAAACTTATGCGCACACACACACACACACACCACTTCCCTCGCACTTGTTCTCTGTTTCCCCCTTCCTTTTTTTTCAGTAGATTTGTTGTTGTACTGTTAATTCTGAAAATCCTGTTTTTTGTTTTTGTAATAAAATTAAAAGGAACTGTAGATTTGAATGCTCTTTTTCTTTGTCGGCACATTTGGAAACGTAACACTAGACTTGTTCAAGGGCTGCACAACACACACACACAGACACACACAAACGCGGGGTGACATTTCTGTGGCTGTTTTTACAGAAAGTAGAAAATGTGTCACCCTCGTCAATCTGCGTGGAAACCTCCTCGCACTCGGAATATATATTTTTTTAATGCTTTAACTTTTCAACTGTAATCGTTACATTTGAGGCCATTAAGGATCATAAGTAAGTTGATTTGTCCAAAGGCTATTTCAATCATTAACAAATGGTTGTTTTAGAATGATCCAACTTGTGAATTTCTGCTGATATTGCTTAGCGATTTTAAAGGTTTAATGATTTAATTTCTTTACAAAAGACATGCTACATCATCGAGTGCCGCCAAAGGACTGTTCCAATGTCCAGCATACTTGGAATTCTACCGAGGCCGGCGTACTTCGTAGCGAGAAATTTCGAGGCTGTACATGTGTAGACTCGGCGGTCTTAAAATCCCCACAATGCTTTGCGCACGGACCAATTTCCAAATCTTTGGTGGAAATCGTGCTCCATTTAAGGCGGGGCCTCATATGATGCACACCTGTTAACCTGTTCCACAATTATTCATTTTCCGTGGCTAGGAAGGATTCTTGCCTCGCTTATGAAGGAACTGAATCGGAAGACGTGTCCTACCAAGGAAGCGTCCTCGACATTGAGAAACACCCAGTGTATCCTCCACTGTCTTAAAATCCCCACAATGCTTTGCACACGGACAATTTCCCAAATCTTCGTCGGAAAATGTAAGGCGGGGCCTCTCATATGACGCACACTTGCTAGCCTGTTCCATTCTTCATTCTCTGAATGAAAGGAAGGATTCTTGCCTAGCCTCTGATGGACCTGACTCGGAGGGACATGTCCTACCAAGGAAGCGTCCTCGACATTGAGAAACACCCTCAGTTATTTCCTTAGATTTTTCACAAGGTAATCATCTTCGTTTCAAATATTTTTATTGAGAAGAAGCATACAAGTGTAAGCAATAGTCCAGACTTCTTTGGGGTGGAAATCATGCTTTAAGGTAATCATTTTCAATGTAGTCATTAAAGAATTGTCTCAGATGTTCAGAGCAACATTTGTCCAGTCTTTCAGCTTTCTCAACGTTTGGTGAGAAAAGGTGTTAGAAATCACAAATACTTAAATCCTTAAAGCAGGGCTCGACATTATAAATGGCCCGCTGGCCCGGAAGCACTATTTAGACACCCCGGGCCAGCATAACGTACTTTCCACTTGCCCGCTGGGGCCACAAAAAATATTGTTTAAAAAAAAATATTGTCCTGTGGTATTGGTATTTGGACTAGCAATTTTGTTAAATTGTTTCGTTTATTAACGCTACAACATAGCGTTTCGTGAGTCGGTTGTCGTTGTTGGGTGAAAAGCAAACAGCTGTTTTGTTGCGGAGCGCAGCGCGAGCAGGCTCCCGTGAGCGCAGCGCGAGCAGGCTCCCGTGAGCGCAGCGCGAGCAGGCTCCCGTGAGCGCAGCGCGCAGCGCGAGCAGGCTCCCGTGAGCGCAGCGCGAGCAGGCTCCCGTGAGCGCAGCGCGAGCAGGCTCCCGTGAGCGCAGCGCGAGCAGGCTCCCGTGAGCGCAGCGCGAGCAGGCTCCCGTGAGCCCAGCGCGAGCAGGCTCCCGTGAACGGGAGCGCAGCGCGAGCAGGCTCCCGTTCACGGGAGCGCAGCGCGAGCAGGCTCCCGTGAACGGGAGCGTGCTCCTTCACTACAGACTATCGCGCCACCTTACCATTCGCCAACATGTTTTTAATACCAGCGGTAACCGGCCAAGCGCCGGGCAACAAACTATCTTCAAATAAAAGAAAGTCACCGGATGAGTTAAAGGAGAGTGACAGGGAGCATGAGAAGAAGAGGGAGAGAAAGTTTCAGTCAGCTTGATCGATGGAGTTGGCTTCTAGTGGTGCAGTGACGCATCCTAAAACCCTTTTATAATCTATCGATTAGATTTATGATTATACAATTATAAAAGTAGGGTAGACATGTGGAGATTATCCAGCTGAACAAAACGTGCATTTATCAAACAGGTTTGTTTTCCACAGACCTTATTTCCAGCTATTTTCCAAAACCCTGTGGAGAAATCCCATTGCTTTCTGTGGAGGGAACCAGCAGCTTACTTCCTGGTTTTAGGACGCGTCACTGCACCTCTCAATATGATACCAATATAAATAAGGTCTTCTGTCGGCTCTGTGCCGACCTATGGTGCCGACCTATGCTGACAAGTAAGTGAAGAGTAGACAATATAAAGGTATTGGCTATAGGGAAATGTCCCAGCAGTTTAGGATAATGAAGGTTCTAATCAAATCAATTACATAGCCATTACATGTCTAACTCCTGATGACAGGAAGGCATAAAGTGCATTATACAAATAATACTCATAATAGCAGACATTTTTGAACAATGACCACAATATCATTATTTTAATAAACCAAATATGAACAATTGAGGGAAATGAGGAAGAACTGATGATTCAAATGTTGTAGTACAAGTAGTATGTAGTTAGTGCATAAATTACTATTGCAACAAATGTGTTAATTTTCTTCATTATTAGTCGATTTTTTTTGGACGAATGCTCCGGGCCAGTGGTTACAATGGTGGGGCCAGTGATAATAAAATTCCACCGGCCCGGAGGGCCAGCTGAATTTTACCCTTAATGTCTACCCCTGCTTAAAGTCATTATGCACTTGTCAGGACACCAGTGTGACCTTTTTGACACCAAACGTCACTGCTGAAAGGCTGCTTTTATTTCAATAAAGTTCAACCAAGAAGCTGTTTAGTGGTCCGAGTGTTTCTTTGAACTCCTGAGGCGCCCTGAGTCTTCCCACTAAAACCTGTTTGTTCCAAAAATCTTGTGTCACTTCAGAGTGAGAATGTGGGGAAGAACCAGAAACTTGTCGGGCAAGAGGGTTTACCTAATTGTTGCATAACAAGAAAAGCTTTACATAAATTGTGCGCAACAAAGTTTAGAGACCACAGTTTGGGAAGGTAAGAGATCTTGAGACGAGGACGACTCTACAAAGCTACAGGTAAATACAAAATAGATACTATTTTAAATTGAATAAAATGTATATATTTTTCTCTTGGTGCTTTAATTGAACAATTTTACAAAACCAAATGTATCCATCTGCAGGAGTATTCAGATTATTGACTAAATCCATTGATGCATATTTTTCAAAGAATTCAAAACAGCAGTTTTGCAGAGTAATCATTTTCTCCTGGCACTTTCTTTTTCTTAACATGGTGTAGTAAAAACGATGTATGGTGTGCAGCTTGTAAAGAGCTGTTGTGATTTTTGGACATTCATTTAGGTAAAATTAGCAATACATTACTGCTCCATTATAGGTCTAGCTTTTGAAATGTGACTACAAAGTACAGTATAATTATCATCAAAATGTAATTGTAAGAAACAAACATTATTGGATTATAATTACTAGTGCATTAATGTTTAATATAATGGAGAATAATGTACAATATTTACTTCTGAATAGTCAAGTGCAAATGAATAATGACATTCTTCAAATTCAATCACATCGAATTGTGCTTTGTTACTGTATTTTAGTAAAGTACTTAAAGGTAGGGTAGGTAAGAATGGAGAAACCAGCTCGAGTGCGCTAGAATTGAAAGAATTTAGCCGAAAAAAAATCTGCCTCTTCCTTCAGACTTCCTTACAGAGCCCCTCCTCCAACACACACGAACGCTGCAACAAGTCCTCCAACTCATACGACCAAATATGCCGATTGTTCAGGCCCAATTATTACGACCAAATATGTCGATTGTTCAGGCCCAATTATTACGACCAAATATGCCGATTGTTCAGGCCCAATTATTACGACCAAATATGTCGTTTGTTCAATCGCTTAATACGTCCTATAATTACGTTTTAAAGTTTTCGCCCTCTAGTGCTCCCGTTGAATGCCAACGTTACAGATGGTCGTTTATTCACAAATAACCCTCTCTGTAAAATCCTAAATTGTTTGGCCATTAAAACGCTTTTGATTAGATTTCTAGCGAAAAGTGTATATTGTACTTTTAGAATCCACCTCCAGTCGATATGTAGGATCTATAGTTTGATAGATATTACGAAGATGATTTGAGGTTTGCGGCAGCCTCCATGTAAAGTTACTGGTTGAAAACAGTGTTTCTCGACGTTTTCATAATAAAACCAATGACCAAATGAGTTAACAGTGATATCTGCAGTATTCATCCACTAAAAAACATCAGTTTATCCTTGTTAATTATACGACATTTATCGGTTTAAATTGTGCACAATGCTTTTGTGTTTTTCCCATAGGTTTTTCTCTTTCGATTCTGAGACGCCTTTCTTTTTTCAGAGGTTTTGATAGGCTAAAACATCGCCGCAATGCATGTTGGGATATGGTGTTTATCCGATATGAAATCGGAAAAACATTTTTTTTAAATAAAATATTACTTTATTCCAAGTGTTCTTGCTTTTCTCTTTGGAAGTCATCACATAACGGCATTGTAATACACGGTTCGGCTGCATTAAATATTACATATCTGCCGTAGATATTTATTTATAGAGCCTTGATCAGAAGACCTTTTGACAAACTGTAAGAAATGCCGCCAAAACTGAATACGTGACGTGGATCATAAATATATTAGCAATTAAACAACATCTTCCATTTCTTTTCACACAATACGTCTCCTTACAGTATCAACACTAATTAGGCTGACTTTTATATTTGATCCAATTGGTATAGGTTATATTTACACCATAACGGTGCACAGCTGATAGAAAGGTTTTTTTTTGTAGTTTTTAAATTATTTACTACCTTTCCAACTCCTCATACAGTTGACTGTTACAGGTTCATGGTACAATGCATAAGCTTCAAATCGAGAGACTGAAACTGTATTCTCCTTTACCGTTCTGTTTTAATTTCACAATAAAGTTAATAGTCATATTATGTTTGATATTATTATGTTTTATTAACTACACCACTGTTTTTTTAACCCGCGCCGCCTTGTGGTTAAAGCATGTTATTGAATGTTGTTGTTGAATACGTTTTATTTGATGAAAACATTTAAATATTAAGAGTAGCCTACATACAAAATTGAAAATATCAAGAAGATGATCACTACAATAAAACAGTTTAGTGCAGGACGTCCAAAGATATTAACAGGAGGATGTGCAAAACAGACAAACTAATAAGGCTTTATTTAAACATTACTTTAAGTTAAGGTCTTCTTTTGAATAAGAAAAAAACGTTGGGGTTATCCACAGATAAATATGAAGTCTGACAACGTGCTTTACGTCCAATATATTGCATAGTTTATTTTGGCACTTGACAATCACCTTCCCTGAATTTGAGTCAGGTGTAACTAAAGTCTGATTTAATGGTTGTTTATATTTCACATCATTAATCAGAATCTGCAAAGTAACTAAAATACATGTAGTGGAGTAAAAATACCAGGTTAACCTCTGAATTGTAGTGGAGTAGAACAAAGTAGTATGCTGCTGTAACAAAAACATTTCCCAACTTGGGATCAATCAAGTATATCTTATCTTAAGATGATCGATGGCTACTGCCATATTTGCAAAATTTGCCTCTGAACCGTGACAATTGCACAGACATAAGACCAGCTGTTAAATAAAGCTCTTCTGACCTTAGGTGTCATGTGGGTATATTAATTCACCCATTTATTAATTATATGTTTTACATTTGATAACACCACTGTGTTTCGTATCCCCTAAACCTCCAGGGGTGTACACAGTTTAATACTGGCAACTTCTAATTGTGAGAAATACGAAAACGTCTTATAAAGAGACGTGCCATATAATGTTGCGAAACACACAATAGCCAGCATGTGTAGTTCTGGGGGGGGGGGGGGGGGGGGGGGGCTGGACCATGGATGTATGGGCTGGACCCGGGGGCTGGACCCGTCCAATTCCAGTTTTGGAAAGTCTGCCGTGGTTCCATTCCATTTCAACGAGCTGTTGACGCTCAGCGTAACCTTGTCGCACTGCCACTCCAACATCCAATCACAGGGCTTGAGGACTAATCATGGGGTTTGTAAAGCAAGGTGGATGTTGTAGTCCCAAACGATAGCTGGGGATTCTGTGTAGTGTCTTCGGAAACTGTAGTGTCTAAACTCCTAAAAAACTATTTGTTTCTCTGAATTGAAGGTTAAAAACACAAAAGCATTGTACACAATTTAAACCAATCAATATTGTGTAATTAACAAGGATAAACTGATGTTTTTTAGTGGATGAGTAATGGAGATATCACTGTGTAATCATTTGACAGTGAGGGGAATATATCCGGTTTTATTATGAAAACTTCGAGACCGGAAAAACTGTTTTCACCCACGCTAACTTTACATGGAAGCTGCATACACGTTATCCTGGCGAGACCTCAAATCATCTTCGTAATATCTATCAAACTATAGATCCTACACATCCACTGGACGTGGATTCTAAAAGTAAAATATACACTTCTCGCTAGAAATAGAAATAGATAGGGGACCTATCATGCAAAATGCACCTTTGGACGTCTTGTATACATGAATATGTGTCCCCGGTGTTCCAGGGAACTCACCAAGTGTCAGAAAACACAACCCTCTCTATTTTCCTCCTTCGCCAAATCTCTAAAAAAGTGGCTGAAACGGATCTGAAAAAAACGGATCCAGATTTCAACACTTTCCTACGTCACAAAGAGACGTGCTCCGCTTATTGGTCAACTCTCCACCTATCAGGGGAATGAGCCACGGCCACGTGCATTGCCGGGATCAATACCAACCATCCGGGAGCAGGCCAGTGAGGACACATCCAATTTTGAAGCTGTAAGTTTTTATTTAGCGGTGTTTTTCCTGATAAAGCTATCTCTAGCTTGTAGTATGTAGCATGTAGCATGTAGCATGTAGCTTCGCCGTATCAATGTCGCCTCAAACCCAAATAGTAATCGGTTAGGTGTTTATATGTTTTTATAACATTTTATATTGTACGCTCCGCAGTCTTTGCTTTGTCTTTTATTTTAATTATCAGGCATTTGCTAACATGTTCAGACATACTGCAGTAATGGCGATCTGTGTGAAGGCTGTAAAGCCACGCCCTAGCCGATAACACAAGTATTTATTCTCCTATTTATTAGTATTTTGTATCCTCTAAAATCATATTGAGTAAGTTATAATAACAAACGTAATCATCTGTAGGTAAGTGCCGTTTTTTGCAGCGTTATATGTAAAAGCTTTTGTGATTGTAGTCTGTAAGAACGATCAGATCTGTAAGCTAAGCTACGCTAATGAGACATGCCGTTTTTTGCAGCGTTATATGTAAAAGCTTTTGTGTATTTACTTGTTTGCGCACATAAATATAAATGGGGGTGTGTGAGGATACAACACTGTGTGTATGTATGCGAGGGGACACACACACCACGAGTAAAACAGAACTAAAGCCCCGTTGGTCTGTTGTTGTTGACGAGGCCTTACCTAGCAACAGGCTAATTAGTGGCAAGCACTCATTACAGTCAGTCTACTGAGCTCAGCCCCTCTCCAACATATCATCTGTATTGAGTCAGAAACACAGCATGCACGTTACGGTTCAAAACTAACTCAGATTGGAAAAGGCTAAGCAAAGAGCTTTGCTAAATAGAGAGTTTTAAGCCCCATCTTTTGGGATTTCAGACGATATTTATCCAAATAGTATTTTCTCATCCTGAATACTAAATTGAGATGATTTTGTTCTAACTATGTTTTCTTCTTTACAGGCCAGCACCTCACATACTTACTAATTAGTGACAATTTGTACATCCTTTGCTATTATTTACATTTTTTTTTTATCATGGCGGAAATGAAAGACTGTACCTGGCAGCCCTGCACTACAATGAAAACGCTGAGCGTGCACAAGCCAACATCCACTGGAAACCCTCTGTATAAACTGCAGTTCCCAAAGGCCAGGAAGGGAGAATGCAGAGCAAAACCAGTAAAGACTGACCCCGCATTCCGTAAGTGTTTAAAATATTTATTATACAACTATTTACAAATATAAAATTAGAAAGAACTTTCAGTT